AGAGATACGTGTCCTGATGTCTGTGTATTAGGAGGGGGTGAGAGGTGCGTGTCCTGATGTCTGTGTATTAGGAGGAGGGGAGAGGTAGGTGTTCTGATATGTGTATTAGGAGGGGGTGAGAGTTACGTGTCCTGATGTCTGTGTATTAGAGGGAGGGGAGAGGTAGGTGTCCTGATGTCCCATTAAAGGGTAAATTGATGGAGGGGGTATTTATGGCCATGGTGTCTCTGTATTATGGCAGTGGGGTATATCCTGTGCACAAGGGACGCAAAACTCGATCCTCATTGTGTGGAAATCGCAGCTTGTCACAGAGGAAAGAAAATGGAGATCCCTGGGGTTATTGGCTAAAGTGGGAATAGCCAATTAGGTAACAGAAATATTTAACTATTGTCATCTAAATCTGAACTTTTTCTTTGAATTCCCAACCAATCCTGCGAGGATCTGTTACTCTGTATCCAACCAATCCTGCGAGGATCTGTTACACTGTATCCAACCAATCCTGCGAGGATCTGTTACACTGTATCCAACCAATCCTGCGAGGATATGTTACACTGTATCCAACCAATCCTGCGAGGATCTGTTACTCTGTATTCAACCAATCCTGCAAGGATCTGTTACACTGTATCCAACCAATCCTGCAAGGATGTGTTACTCTGTATCCAACCAATCCTGCGAGGATGTGTTACTCTGTATCCAACCAATCCTGCGAGGATCTGTTACACTGTATCCAACCAATCCTGTGAGGGTGTGTTACTCTGTATCCAACCAATCCTGCGTGGATGTGTTACACTGTATCCAACCAATCCTGCGACGATGTGTTACTCTGTATCCAACCAATCCTGCGAGGGTGTGTTACTCTGTATCTAACCAATCCTGCGAGGATCTGTTACACTGTATCCAACCAATCCTGCGAGGATATGTTACACTGTATCCAACCAATCCTGCGAGGATCTGTTACTCTGTATCCAACCAATCCTGCGAGGATCTGTTACACTGTATCCAACCACTCCTGCGACGATGTGTTACTCTGTATCCAACCAATCCTGCGAGGGTGTGTTACTCTGTATCCAACCAATCCTGCGAGGATCTGTTACACTGTATCCAACCAATCCTGTGAGGGTGTGTTACTCTGTATCCAACCAATCCTGCGTGGATGTGTTACACTGTATCCAACCAATCCTGCGAGGATGTGTTACTCTGTATCCAACCAATCCTGCGAGGGTGTGTTACTCTGTATGCAACCAATCCTGTGAGGATCTGTTACTCTATATCCAACCAATCCTGCGAGGATGTGTTAATCTGTATCCAACCAATCCTACGAGAATGTTACTCTGTATCCAACCAATCCTACGAGGATGTTACTCTGTATCCAACCAATTCTGCGAGGATCTGTTACTCTGTATCCAACCAATCCTGCGAGGATGTGTTACACTGTATCCAACCAATCCTGCGAGGGTGTGTTACTCTGTATCCAACCAATCCTGCGAGGCTCTGTTACACTGTATCCAACCAATCCTGCGAGGATCTGTTACTCTGTATCCAACCAATCCTGCGAGGATCTGTTACTCTGTATCCAACCAATCATGCGAGGATCTGTTACTCTGTATCCAACCAATCATGCGAGGATGTGTTACACTGTATCCAACCAATCCTGCGAGGATCTGTTACTCTGTATCCAACCAATCCTGCGAGGATGTGTTACACTGTATCCAACCAATCCTGCGAGGGTGTGTTACACTGTATCCAACCAATCCTGCGAGGATCTGTTACTCTGTATCCAACCAATCCTGCGAGGATCTGTTACTCTGTATCCAACCAATCCTGCGAGGATCTGTTACTCTGTATCCAACCAATCCTGCGAGGATGTGTTTCTCTGTATCCAACCAATCCTGGGAGGATCTGTTACACTGTATCCAACCAATCCTGCGAGGATGTGTTACACTGTATCCAAGCAATCCTGCGATGATCTGTTATTCTGTATCCAACCAATCCTGCGAGAATCTGTTACTTTGTATCCAACCAATCCTGCGAGGATCTGTTACACTCTATCCAACCAATCCTGCGATGATCTGTTATACTGTATCCAACCACTCCTGCGAGGATCTGTTACACTGTATCCAACCACTCCTGCGAGGATCTGTTACGCTGTATCCAACCAATCCTGCGAGGATGTGTTACTCTGTATCCAACCAATCCTGCGAGGATCTGTTACTCTGTATCCAACCAATCCTGCGAGGATGTTTTACTCTGTATCCAACCAATCCTGCGAGGATCTGTTACTCTGTATCCAACCAATCCTGCGAGGATGTGTTACTCTGTATCCAACCAATCCTGCGAGGATGTGTTACTCTGTATCCAACCAATCCTGCGAGGATCTGTTACTCTGTATCCAACCAATCCTGCGAGGGTGTGTTACACTGTATCCAACCAATCCTGCGAGGATCTGTTACACTGTATCCAACCAATCCTGCGAGGATCTGTTACTCTGTATCCAACCAATCCTGCGAGGATGTGTTACACTGTATCCAACCAATCCTGCGAGGGTGTGTTACACTGTATCCAACCAATCCTGCGAGGATCTGTTACTCTGTATCCAACCAATCCTGCGAGGATCTGTTACTCTGTATCCAACCAATCCTGCGAGGATCTGTTACTCTGTATCCAACCAATCCTGCGAGGATCTGTTACGCTGTATCCAACCAATCCTGCGAGGATCTGTTACACTGTATCCAACCAATCCTGCGAGGATGTGTTACACTGTATCCAACCAATCCTGCGAGGATGTTACACTGTATCCAACCAATCCTGCGAGGATGTGTTACACTGTATCCAACCAATCCTGCGAGGATGTGTTACACTGTATCCAACCAATCCTGCGAGGATCTGTTACACTGTATCCAACCACTCCTGCGAGGATCTGTTACTCTGTATCCAACCAATCCTGCGAGGATCTGTTACACTGTATCCAACCAATCCTGCGAGGATGTTTTACTCTGTATCCAACCAATCCTGCGAGGATCTGTTACTCTGTATCCAACCAATCCTGCGAGGATGTGTTACTCTGTATCCAACCAATCCTGCGAGGATCTGTTACACTGTATCCAACCAATCCTGCGAGGATCTGTTACTTTGTATCCAACCAATCCTGCGAGGATCTGTTACGCTGTATCCAACCAATCCTGCGAGGATCTGTTACTCTGTATCCAACCAATCCTGCGAGGATGTGTTACACTGTATCCAACCAATCCTGCGAGGATCTGTTACTTTGTATCCAACCAATCCTGCGAGGATCTGTTACTCTGTATCCAACCAAACCTGCGAGGATCTGTTACACTGTATCCAACCAATCCTGCGAGGATGTTACACTGTATCCAACCAATCCTGCGAAGATGTGTTACACTGTATCCAACCAATCCAGCGAGGATCTGTTACACTGTATCCAACCAATCCTGCGAGGATCTGTTACACTGTATCCAACCAATCCTGCGAGGATCTGTTACACTGTATCCAACCAATCCTGCGAGGATCTGTTACTCTGTATCCAACCAATCCTGCGAGGATATGTTACGCTGTATCCAACCAATCCTGCGAGGATCTGTTACACTGTATCCAACCAATTCTGCGAGGATGTGTTACACTGTATCCAACCAATCCTGCGAGGATGTTACACTGTATCCAACCAATCCTGCGAGGATCTGTTACTCTGTATCCAACCAATCCTGCGAGGATCTGTTACACTGTATCCAACCACTCCTGCGAGGATCTGTTACTCTGTATCCAACCAATCCTGCGAGGATCTGTTACTCTGTATCCAACCAATCCTGCGAGGATCTGTTACACTGTATCCAACCAATCCTGCGAGGATCTGTTACTCTGTATCCAACCAATCCTGCGAGGATGTGTTACTCTGTATCCAACCAATCCTGCGAGGATCTTTTACACTGTATCCAACCAATCCTGCGAGGATCTGTTACTCTGTATCCAACCAATCCTGCGAGGATCTGTTTCTCTGTATCCAACCAATCCTGTGAGGATCTGTTACACTGTATCCAACCAATCCTGCGAGGATCTGTTACTCTGTATCCAACCAATCCTGCGAGGATCTGTTACTCTGTATCCAACCAATCCTGCGAGGATCTGTTACACTGTATCCAACCAATCCTGCGAGGATGTGTTACAATGTATCTTGCTAACAGAATATTGTGCCAGTCTGCCCACCCTCCGTTGGCCCCACATGGAGTTATTTTAGGATGGGCAGTTTCTGGGGGGTTTAAATAGTCAATCATGCCATTGGTCGATATTTACAGACGTTTTAGCTGGTGCTGGCGATGTAGATGAACTGAATGACTGAACAGTGTTTATCCCTCTAGTTTCCATTTAACTAGGGTCAACGTGTGGTCTGGGAAAGGCTCCCCTCTATGTCATGGGCTTTACCTTCTCTCCCCAGCTTCAGCAATGTTCAGGGTCTGCAAACATGGTCCTTTCTATAGACCTTGACATTAATCGATTCCATTAATCTCTTCTTTCCATATGTCAAACTCTCAATTCTCTATATCACTGTTACTGGTCCCACTGGAAGGTTATTCCAGGTATCTACTAACCTTTCTATATCACTGTTACAGCTCCCACTGGAAGGCTATTCCAGGTATCTACTCTTTTCTATATCACTGTCACTTTACTGGGAGGCTATTCCAGGCCTACAATTTCTATATCACTGTTACTGCTTCCACTGGAAGGCTATTCCAGGTATCTACTACTCTTTCTATATCACTGTTACTGGAAGTTATTATATATCTACTACCCTTTCTATATCATTGTTATTGCTCCCACTGGAAGGCTATTCCTGGTATCTACTACCCTTTCTATATCACTGTTACTGCTTCCACTGGAAGGCTATTCCCGGTATCTACTACCCTTTCTATATCACTGTTACTGTTTCCACTGGAAGGTTATTCCAGGTATCTACTACTCGTTCTATATCGCTGTTACTACTGCCACTGGAAGGCTATTCCAGGTATCTACTACCCTTTCTATATCACTGTTACTGCTCCCACTGGAAGGTTATTCCAGGTATCTACTACCCTTTCTATATCACTGTCTATATCACTGTCACTGCTCCCACTGGGAGGCCATTCCAGGTATCTACTACCCTTTCTATATCACTGTTACTGCTTCCACTGGAAGGCTATTCCAGGTATCTACTACTCTTTCTATATCACTGTTACTGCTCCCACTGGAAGGCTATTCCAGGTATCTACTACCCTTTCTATATCACTGTTACTGCTCCCACTGGAAGGCTATTCCAGGTATCTACTACCCTTTCTATATCACTGTTACTGCTCCCACTGGGAGGCTATTCCAGGTATCTACTACCCTTTCTATATCACTGTTACTGCTCCCACTGGAAGGCTATTCCAGGTATCTACCACCCTTTCTATATCACTGTTACTGCTCCCATTGGAAGGTTATTCCAGGTATCTACTACCCTTTCTATATCACTGTTACTGCTCCCACTGGAAGGCCATTCCAGGTATCTACTACCCTTTCTATATCACTGTTACTGCTCCCACTGGAAGGCTATTCCAGGTATCTACTACCCTTTCTATATCACTGTTACTGCTTCCACTGGAAGGCTATTCCAGGTAACTACTACCCTTTCTATATCACTGTTATTGCTCGCACTGGAAGGGTATTCCAGGTATCTACTACCTTTTCTATATCACTGTTACTGCTCCTACTGGAAGGCTATTCCAGGTATCTACTACCCTTTCTATATCACTGTTAATGCTCCCACTGGAAGGCTATTCCAGGTATCAACTACCCTTTCTATATCACTGTTACTGCTTCCACTGGAAGGCTATTCCAGATATCTACTACCCTTTCTATATCACTGTTACTGCTCCCACTGGAAGGCTATTCCAGGTATCTACTACCCTTTCTATATCACTGTTACTGCTCCCACTGGTAGGCTATTCCAGGTATCCACTACCCTTTCTATATCACTGTTACTGCTCCCGCTGGAAGGCTATTCCAGGTATCTACTACCCTTTCTATATCACTGTTACTGCTCCCACTGGGAGGCTATTCCAGGTATCTACTACCCTTTCTATATCACTGTTACTGCACCCACTGGAAGGCTATTCCAGGTATCCACTTTCTATATCACTGTTACTGCACCCACTGGAAGGCTATTCCAGGTATCTACTTTCTATATCACTATCACTGTTACTGCTCCCACTGGAAGGCTATTCCAGGTATCTACTTTCTATATCACTATCACTGTTACTGCTCCCACTGGAAGGCAATTCCAGGTATCTACTACCCTTTCTATATCACTGTTACTGCTCCCACTGGAAGGCTATTCCAGGTATCTACTACCCTTTCTATATCACCGTTACTGCTCCCACTGGAAGGCTATTCCAGTTATCTATTACCCTTTCTATATCACTGTTACTGCTCCCACTGGAAGGCTATTCCACGTATCTACTACCCTTTCTATATCACTGTTACTGCTCCCACTGGAAGGCTATTCCAGGTATCTACTACCCTTTCTATATCCCTGTTACTGCTCCCACTGGAAGGCTATTCCAGGTATCTACTACCCTTTCTATATCACTGTTACTGCTCCCACTGGAAGGCTATTCCAGGTGTCTACTACCCTTTCTATGTCACTGTTAGCCGTTACTGCTCCCACTGGAAGGCTATTCCAGGTATCTACTACCCTTTCTATATCACTGTTACTGCACCCACTGGAAGGCTATTCCAGGTGTCTACTACCCTTTCTATGTCACTGTTAGCCGTTACTGCTTCCAATGGAAGGCTATTCCAGGTATCTACTACTCTTTCTATATCACTGTTACTGCTCCCAATGGAAGGCTATTCCAGGTATCTACTACCCTTACTATATCACTGTTACTGCTCCCACTGGAATGCTATTCCAGGTATCTACTACCCTTTCTATATCTCCCAGCTGTGTTCTGTTTGACACTTTCTATTCTTGGTCAGTAAAATTCATTTATATTGCGTCTATATTGCGTTAAGCTTGTTGTATGGTGTCACTGTTCTCCGTTACCTTTACACACAAAATATAATGTAAAGCATGTGTTAAGAATGTATTAATAATGTATATATTGCATTGTGCATTGCTACTGAGTAAGCACGAATGCTGTATTAGTAATTAATTTACCGCCATTAGGCCCAGGGCCAGCCGTACACACTCCTATGTTAAAGGGACACTCCACTGACCAAAAAACAGAATAATTAAACCTCATTGTTTAGTAAATATACCCCAAATTACAGCATGTGTGTATTTATTATACATTTTGTCATTGACGTATATCTATACCTCTTGTAAAAGCTGGAGTTTTTCGTCTGCAGCCTTTGCAGTTCCTCCCCTTATAGCCCCACCCAGATTTTTTTTTGGCTGTCCTATCACAGACTTCCCAGTGCAGCTCAATTATTATTATTTTCTTATGTATATAGCACCAGCAAATTCTGTAGCGCTGTACAAGCTTGATGAGAAGTCTTTGCAAGGCAGGTGCTCTGGGTAATTGCTGCCTCTAAAGTTTAGTTCCACTGAGTTGGCCAAACCAGGAAGTAACAGGATGGAGTGTCTGATTGACACACAGGAGGGGTGTAACCAGTAATTTCTAAAACTGTCAATTTCTACTGAAATCTGCACTTTTTTGAAGAAAATTGGGTACACTCTCCAAGACCTAAAGCTAAGAATACATGCCCTGCGTCATTTCCCTGTGCCCACATTCTCACCCATTGGGGTAGATTGCACTGGATTTATGAAGGCTGATAATACCCACGTCCTATTTCTGAGGGGCACATCATGGTCCGGGTTTGGTAGGATAAATCCAGTCAAATGCCCCACTATTATAGGGCTTTTGAATAGCATATATCCACCCAAACTGAATAAACCAGGCTTATCCTGCCCAAAGTCCCCTTGTGTTTTCAGTGATAAATTGTCCCAGACAGGGGACACAAAGGGAATCTGCGTTCTTACAAATACTGCCAAAGGACTTGCTGCAAATTATCCTGCACTCCCCCTCGTGGCTTAATGTGGAGTTTCTTGTAAAACCAAACACAAAAATGTCACAGCAGTTGGAGGGCCTGTTGCTCTGTTGTCTTCCTTGCAATCTTGACCTTGGTTTGTTGTACGGGTGCAGTAAGGTTTGGAATGTCCTTGTTGGTGCAGTTCTTAGTGCCATATAATCTTCGTGGTTTAGATAGAGTATTGCTTTGCTGTGTATGACATTGCTGAGATAAGTTTACACCTGCGATTAAAGTGCAGTAAGTTAGTTGCCTAACTTCCAAGCCACTCTGGGTACAATTAGCCAGAAAGCCTCCATTCGCGCGCACACACACACAGAATTATTTTTGGTAAACAGAGAACTCATTGAGTTTAATGTTGTGTCTGTCGGTGGACTTTCTGTTAAACTCAGCAGTGTTCCGCACTCACCCTGTGACCTCCTGAGATGTTTTTAGGGTGGTTATGCAAGAAATGTTGCTTCATGCTGGAGCCAACTCCTTTACTTAATTTGTCTCTATGTAACTGCACTCACGCACATACAGTACATGTCGCAGCAAGTCACGGCTACTTCCATCCAGGTGGTTATACAGTATAACCATGAAAGACATTGCAACATAACACAGAGTCCAACTACAATTTAACTGCATTCTGTGCCACCCTCTTGCAGTATATGGTACCAGAACCGTTCGGTACCTGTGAGTTCCACACTACCCATCTCTACTTCCTATTTTGTATCTCTCATAGATTGGAAGCTGGTTTGTGCAGGGACATCACCTGTCTCTGTTAATATGTTGTATTTTAATTGTCCTTTATTCTAGGATTGTATAAATAATAATAATATAGTATTTATTTACTCTGTATATTTGCAGCCTGCCCGTGTTTGATTTCCTGCTCTGCTCATATCCCAGCGTTTGAACATTTAAACAACTGCTGGGCAACTTAAGACGCTCTGATACAGGGAATACAAGTCGATCTGCCTGAACCGGCACAGACAGCTGTAGGGACTCAATAAAATACATACTTATTACTTCCGGACAATGGTGCAATGTACGTATAGGCGTGCAACTGAATTAAACAAAGTAGGTGTGTTTGCAGTAAATTCTGATCTGTGTAGGTCATTGGTGCTAGTGTATAAGTGCTCATGTGACTGGCATACTGCATGCGGGCTTGTGATGACCTACATTTATTGCAGTGTCCTTATCCCGTATCACAACACAGTGTATTCTTAGACTGCCCATGATTTCGACCACCCCTTTACTCCATAGCCTGTCATTTTCGTCTGCACAGAAGCGCCGTTCATATGTTGAGGAGACCTCAGGAGGTGGCACGCAGCCAGCCTGGGAAATCAGGAAGTGAGGGACACATGCAAACATTTATGGAAGTGTTTCTACTCTGCTCTTGGCAGGAAGACAAAACCGATTAGTACACATTAAAAAACACAATTACATCAAAGTGATAGCGCTACCTATAAAATAAGATCAGAGGGATTACGTCTTTAAAGGACTACTCCTCCTGTATGATGCTATACCCACAACCAGAAGAGATTTTATGAGGTTGGGAAGTATCGAAAAGTTCCTCTCCAAACTTGATAAGGAATTTCAGAAAAATGGAAATGGAAAAATTCCACTAATTGAGATTTCTGAGATTCGTCATCTCGCAGACGTGCACCTTGCATGGTGTCCTTCTCCTAACCCTGTGTCCCCTCTGCTGGTGGTCTTGGTGAGCAGAATGGTGGCCAGGAACATGGTGATGATACAGTTCAGGTCCAGCTATCTCTAACCATGAATGAGCACAGGAGAATGTAGCGCTCTGTTTTTAGTAGTAACGTACATAGCTGAGAGAAGTGCGTTACTTCTGTCACCTCATCTTGGAAGTGTGTCTGAAGGGACAGTCCTTTTTTGGGATACACATTCCCACTGTTTCCTTCCTACCGTAATAGTGGCCATCTGTAATAGGATCTGTGTTCGTAAGTAATGTGAGGCAAATAAACATGCAGTGTGTCCATATATCACAGTGCTTCTGTGATAGAACACATCTAGAGAGGCGATACCTTCACCATAACCTGTCTCTATAGTGTGCATCCGATATGTGTGTAATAATACATTAACGACCTAAAACAGTAACAATAATTTAATTTGAAGGGCCAGGAGTTTATAATTGCTTTGTACAGATAGAATTAAAGAAAACCCAAACACGTCTACTGTTGAAAAAAAAAAGAAAAAAGGGAAATATCGCAGACAAAACATGCGTCAACACATCCAAGCGTCGTTTCCTCGGCCGAGGCACAAGCCTGTCTTATATTGAAGTATTACTATGGTTTTATTGATTTAAATGTAGTTTTCTGATTATTTGCGAATGTCTGTAAACTGCACTGCGGCTCAAAAATATTTCACTGTGTGAAAGGGTTTTATGTTAATTGAATAGTGCGAATTAAGACAAAGCAGAGGTACAGAACTATTTTTTGTTCCATCCCTTTTAGGCACTTTATGGTTTTACAAAATATACCTCCATAATATGTTCATACTTGGAGCTTTTAATGATCGAAGTATAATAGTTTTAAAGATATTAAAGTTGTTTGAAGAGTACTAGCTTAGCTCCTCAAAACCTATTCCTGTGCCCCTATGATTATTATAACATGTTTGTATGATTATATAACTCCTTATGGTGTGCCAGTGGGTGTTACATTCATTCTCTGTTCTTCTAAAATAACGGATTGAGGTCTGTGTGTTGGATGTCCTCAATGAATTCTCTGAGCTGTATAATAAGTGATGAATGCTTGGCTGGGCAGCACTACAATACCCTATATTGCACTTCAATAATGATTCCCGTCTCTCTGTCAGTCCAGATAAGTCATTAATGGAATCACACAATGGCTCTCCTATCCATCCCAGCAGGACACTACGAGAATTAAATTTTACACCTTTTATTATATTCTAATTCTTAATATTTGTGCTGTTTCCATGGTAGAAATTAAAGACTGATGTAGGAATTAGTTTTCCTCCCCCCAAAAATTCCGCAAGAATAAACAAAGTGTATATTGCAAGGACATACAAACCATTCACAACACACAGGTACTTGTTGCTATCTCCACTTTACCTCTCTGCATTGTCCCAACTAATCGCCCATCTGTTTTCCAAAACTTACACTGTACAGACGGGTGTTAGCAACACTCGTTTTAAGGTGTAGCAACACTCTCCGCATGCTCCAGGTGGTGGTGTTACTCAAGAGCACGTCATCCTGCCACCATTATGAAATGACTCTCTGCATGGTTGTGGTATTTAATGAAACGGTCATTGCGCTGATAGACATCTACCTACTTCACCTACTGGAAAACCAGATCGGTATAAACATACACAATCAGACCTTAAGGATTCACA